AACTAAAGGTGAGAAGAAACAGATTTTTAAAACTTATTCCAATCAAATAAGTAATGTTAATGTTTTACCGTTTTTTAATCGTTTGAATTTATGAATTACACATACACTTTTAGTCTTGACATGTTGGACTACTCCAAACGACTCTTTTTGCACTATCCTGGATTTTTTTTTTGTAAATTTTACTTCTAATAATTTGTATTCTCCGGAACTCAAACTTTATACAAACTGGTGTAGAAATATTAATGAACCAGTTGTTAAACTTTATACAAGTTGGAGTTGTATTTCACATGTTTTTTAACGTTAAAAGTATAAAATTAATTTAGTTGAAATCAACCAAAAACAAAAACAAAAAATCTTAAGAGATAGTTAGCATATGAATTTTTTACGAAGGTTAAATACAACTCTGTCTCGAATCGGATCAGTCACTCTCCAAGGCTTTCGATGGGTATCTCGATTGCCCCATTTAAGGGTCCATAATTATATTGTAAAGACTTTTATTATCCCTCTTTCATTCATATATTTACATATTAGCCCTTTTATTTTTGGGAAATTTACAAAGAATGCCATAATGGTTTCAAAACTATTACAAAATGCCATAATCTATAATTGTTTTTTAGAAATGCGATAAAATACTATTTATCGAGTCTGGAAAGACAGTTTTACTCTTAATATTAAATACATCAAATGGTGATATGTTATGACAGATTTAATTGGTGGACGAGAATAACGGACAAAGTCACATAATTTGGTGGATAAGGATAACTGTTGAAACATTAAGAGTTTGAAAATTTGGTGGACGAAAATATCGTAAGACTTTCAAAACCTAATTTTGTCCCTACCTTATTAGTTATCGTCCATGTGACTGAAACTAGGTAGTCTTTTTATCCACTTCAAAAATAGAAGAAGATATCATCATCCAAATGTATGTGTAGTCCAAGACACGACTGAATAGACAACTCGAACCTGTGTTATTGTGGACAATATACGTGTAGTCTGAAGCACGACCGAGTAGACAACTCGAACCTGTGTTATCTGTGGACAATATTGTCCGCTAAAATTGTGACAGAGAATGAACTTGT